ATACTCCCTCCGTTTCTTATTAAATGTCGTTTTAATTTAAAACTTCTAAATTACGATTTTAATGGGTTGTGTAACAATCTTATTTTTTAATCTTATTAAATTTAGTTTTTGATTTATTAATGGGTGGTTTTTAAAGATAATGATAAGAGATAATGTTTGTTAAAGAGAATAAAGATGTAAGAATGAATATAATATTTCCAACGACAATTAATTTGCAAAAAAGTTGACACCCTACAACGACATTTAAAACAAAACAGAGGGAGTATAATAAATAAACACAATTATTATGTGGAGACAATATATGTTAAATTATAAGCACAAAACAACCAAATTTTATCAAATGATCACAAATTTTTTAGCATCATATATTTAGCAAAATCACTTCCGTAAATACAGCAAAAGCAAATTTGCAAAATTAAAGCCCCAACCTTCATAATCCCGACGATGGTGCCGCTGTAGCCGGGGAAATTCCGCACGGCCGTGACGACATTCGCGGTGTTGAAGAACGTCTGCGCGTGGGCCGCGAGGAACATGAACAGGCACGTGGCCGCCACGTGCGGTCGCGGTACGGCGCCGGTGACGGCGAGCCACAGGAAGGAGTATCCGGCGAGGCACTGGGCGGCGCCGGCGGCGAGGACGATCCACGGGCGGCGTGGGGCGGCGGAGTAGAGGAGGCCGGATAGGACGCCGGCGTTGGCGCCGATGTCCTTGAAGACGGAGACGGTGTCGAGGGTGGACTGGTCGTAACCCTGGCTGGATTTGAGGAGGGCCGAGTAGATTCCGAAGGCGTACGACGCGCCGCAGCTGCACTGGATCCAAATGCTCGCCGCCGTGGCTATCCATTTTCCGGCCTCCATTTTTGTTTTTGTGTCTGGTTTTATTTGCCTTCTTTTTAATTTTTGTGCGTTTTTTGGGATCTAATTTGTGTCTATGTTCATTGCTGTTGGTGTCATGGACACGCGTGGGCCAAATAGAGTATATGAGTGGGTTTTGTTTGTGGTATGGTGTTACAAAACTTTATTAGAAATGGTTGGTTGAGGTCTTTGTTGGATAAGAACTAAGAAGTAGACAAATACGAATTGTATTAACTGATTTGATTACTTTCAATTCATGGTTTATCATGTGGTATGTTAATCTAACTATCAAGTCTTGTTTGATAAGAAGTAGATTGTAAATGAACAACGAATTGTATTAGTTGATGTGACTAACTAATTCAATTAACAATTTGTCATGTGGTATGTTAAAATCTAATTATTAGGTCGACCCTTGTTTTATAAGAAATAATTAATAGATTGTATTGGTTGGTTTGACTAGCTAATTTAATTAGGGGTTTGTCATGTCGTATGCCTATCTAACTATTAGGTCGATCCTTATTTGATAAGAAATAGCTAATAGATGATTGTAAATGAACAATGAATTGTATCAGTTCGTTTGACTAACGAATTCAATTAAAAATATGTTAATGTGGTATGTCGATCTAACTATTAGGTCTAACCCTTGTTTGGTAAGAAATAACTAATAGATGACTGCAAACAAACAATGAATTGTATTGGTTGGTTTGACTAATGAATTCAATTATGGGTGTATCGTGTGGTATGTCCATCTAACTATATATCAGGTTGACATTGGTCTTCTTTGATAAGAAGTAGTTAATAGCTGATTGTATTAACGAACAACGAATTGTATTAATTGGTTTGACTAATGAATTCAATTAACGGTTTTTCATGTGGTATGCCTATCTAACTATTAGGTTGACATAGGTCTCTTGTTTTGTAAGAAGTAGCTAATAGCTGACTGTTTTAACGAACAACGAATTGTATTAGTTGGCTTGACCGACGAGTCACGAATTCAATTAGGGGTTTGTCATGTGTATGCCAATCAAACGATTAGGTCGACATAGGTCTTGTTTGATAAGAACTAGCTAATAGCTGACTGTATTAACGAACAAGAGCTGTATTAGTTCGTTTGACTAACGAATTCAATTAGCGATTTGATGTGGTGTGTTAATCTAGCTATTAATTCGACATGGGACTTGTTTGATAAGAAATAGTTAATAGCTGACTATTTTAACGAAGAACCAATTGTATTAGTTTGTTTGACTAACTAATTCAATTAGCAGTTTGTCATGTGGTATGCTAATCTAATTATTAGGTCGACATAAACCTTGTTTGATAAGAAGTAGCTAATAGCTAACTCTATTAACGAACAAAGAACAACGAAGATCATTTGACAAAATCATTTTGACATTTTATGAAATATCTTTATGTAAATGTAAGGTTTGAAAAAAAAAATGTTGGATCTCCGATATGATGCCAACGAATAAGGTCAGCAACTTGAGATTTACCTAGTTACTTTGACGACAAATTGCTATATCGACCCCAAGAAATATCATATGACAAAATCAAGAAGATCATTGGATATAAAATACGAAATACAATCATGGACAAAAAGAAAAAAAGAAAAAAAGAAATATTTAGCGGACTAAAATTGCATGGAAGCACATCCAGGCAGCCACCAAGTTGAAAAATCTTGCAAAATTCAAATAGGAATCATAATATATTATATTCACTCTCATTTATTTGAAAATTAAATGGAGGCTAAAATGGATAAAAGAGATGGCCTTAAATTCCATCACCTAGCTTGCTTCCAAGGGCCAACTTGTTTTTAGGTGGACTGGATAAAAACATGGCCTTAATTAAAAACATGTCAAAGACTGGACCCCTTTGCCAAAATAAAAATCACAAATAAAGTTATGATAGCAACTTCTTAAATTGTCAAAGACGTAATAAAAATTAAAAATGAAGTGAGTCCTATCCCAATAACATTTGCGAGACGTACCTTATGATGTGAAATTTTGAATTTTGGAGATGTCTGCCCAAGAATAGCAAAACTTTTGTTTTTCCTTTAACTAATTTCTTATGTCCTTTTCCCAATTTTTCCTCCAGGATTATCAATCGTCGCTGTAACAGATGCTGTTCAATATTGATACGTGAACAAGTAAAAAGTAGGTAAAATTTTATTCTTACAGTCTTACTCCAACTTTTTTCGAAAATTGGTATGCTATATTCGTAGAATCAAACTTGGTATATAAAAGTACATTAATTACGAGGGACAAGATAAAATTCGCTATTTCTGTTGCGGTCTAATGTTGTCGTTGTTCCGGTTTCAAGTGGTTGACTCACAATTGGATTCTTTTCATCAAATCGAGACAGTTATAGACATAAAAATCCGGCCAAATCGAATTCGTTTGCGCAATTAGTTTTCTGTTCAAAATTATATGCACTAACTCAATATTCGGTCTATAATCAGCGTGCGACGAGCCTGTGATAAATTTGAGAAATTATGCCGTTAACTTGCCCTTTGTGATTAGTGTGTACTTTTTGATGTTTTTTGATAAATTAATGTACTAAGTTTGATATGTGTCAATAGCATATATGTTCTAAAAAGAGAACTATATTATAATTGAACAAAAATGGATTTTTTGGCGAATGAAGTATATGTACTATATATATGAGACAATGAGGCTAGCTAGTGACCACATCTTTAGAATTAGTCATTGAATTTATCAATATGCTGTCAAGTAACAATGACATTTAAAAATTCGAAAAAAAAAAAACAATGACGTTTTACAAAACCAGTCACACAAATTGTGCACGGAATAAACTATCTTGAGTCACACAAATAGATTATTCCTTCACAACGACACGACACTTTATGAGGTTGAATTTGGTCGAGTTTTCAGAGTCTCGAGAGTAGGAATGTTCATAATATGTGATCTTATCAACAGTTACATATGTTTGTCACATTTCTTTTATACATTTTCGTTTATACGAAGTATAATATTCAGCTATAAGCAAATGTATGTACTGCATAACTTTAGAAAATTAAACTGAATCAAAATGAAAATGAATGTATACAATTACAATATATATATAAAAAAAATAATAATTAAAAATAAAAAACAACTAAAATTAGTGGACTACAATTTCAATTTTTTCTCAACAATTCTACCACTACTAAATCTGAAAAGTGGACTCGGCCCAAACATAGGTGAAATGTTGATTATATCAGCCCAACCCAACCTTGAAAGCCCACTCATTCACCTTGTCGAGTTCATGAGCCACTTTGGCGTCGGTCTTGTTCTCTTCTTCACTCGATTGCTGTATTTTCTACAATCTCTGCGTTCCCCGGCCGCCGAATTCCGCCGTCAACTGGCCGACCAGCCTCCACTCGGCCCTCCGATTTAGAAGGTACTAAACGAAAGAAAAATTATCTTTTACAAACCCTAGATTATGTATATCGACATTTCGCACAATGCGTGATTGGTTCTGCTAGCTATTGCTATTGTTTTCGTATTTTACCTGGTTTTTCGTCCTTTTTATTTTTCATGTTCTGTAGTTTTGTTCGATTAGTTGTCTTAGTTGTGTTCATGTGGCTTTTTTCTTTGAGCTAAACTGAAACCTTCCTTCGATTCAGAGCTGCAGAAACGAGAAAAAGATGAATGCCCCCGATCGTTATGAGAGATTTGTAGTCCCTGAGGGTGTCTCTAAGTACTCTCTCTCTCTCTCTCTATATATATATATGTGTGTGTGTGTGTGTGTGATGCTGTTTCGTTTTCTGACTTCTTGGTGATGGTGATTCGATTGATTAACAGAGTGTCGTACGAGAGGGACACGAAGATCATCAATGCGGCTTCTTTTACAGTCGAGCGTGAGGACCACACCATCGGCAACATTCTACGCATGTATAATTATTCAGCATCTTCTTTTATTCTATTTTTTTTTATATTTTTGGTTTGAGTATTTCTGTTTTGCTTTGTGCAAGACGTAATCTTTTATGTGTAATGAAAACAGGCAGCTGCACAGTGATGAGAATGTACTGTTTGCTGGATACAAGTTGCCTCACCCACTTCAGTACAAAATACTCCTTAGGGTGTGTATTTGTTTTTGCGTATTTATCTGTCCATTAATTCTCTAATATTCTTAATTGGGAATATGTTGACAGTGGCATGCTTTATGGGCGCAATCAACAAATTTTGCATAGTCGTAAGTGTTAATTCTTAATGGTATAGACTGTGCGAGACTAGTGTAAACACGGAGTAAATCTGTGTTAAGATATTTACTAATACCAGCCAAGGCAATAACATTGAGAGTACAATGGAGTGACTTCGGTTGAAATAAAAATTTGTGCAGTTTCTTATTCAAACATCCGGCAAGTGCTAAATCTTTGTACCTTTCTAGGTGTTAGGTGTGTAGTTTAATGTCGGGATTATCGGGTTAGATTCTATAACCTGATTTGAAGCTAAAATTTCGTTTCTTTGTTTGAACCTTTGAGTTACAAAAATGAATTGTTTTGTGTATACTTCTGTCAATTCCTAGATAATTGCTCCTAATTTCTGCATTGCCGTTGCTGGATGACTCTGGCTGGTTTTATTTTACGTTGGGTATAATTTTGTTTGATGGGAATTTGCAGATCCACACGACAAGCCAGTCTTCTCCGATGCAGGCATATAATCAGGCTATCAATGATCTGGATAAGGAACTTGATCATCTAAAGAATGAATTTGAGGTAATATTTTGCTTGCTCTGTTTTTCAACCATGTTATTTGACGAACAAATACTCAGAATTTTGGGTATGTGTTGGGAGAGGAGCATCTATTCCTTGTCTTGATTAATTTGGGTTAACATGTGAAGCAATTGCACTGAATTGGACACATAATAAGTCAGTAATTAGATTTAGGATAAAGATAAACACATAACTTGGCCTTGAAGTTATGCCCAGGCAGATTCTTAGTAGTGCAAAGTCTTTGTAGTTTTACGCTTTCTTTATTCTCATTTTTTTTTTAATCTGCTAGTATACAATGTTATCGAATACGTTATATTTGATGATGAATTTATGGGTTGTTCATTAGCTTAATATTTGAAAAATATAAAGTGTGCTTTGGTGTATTAACTCATTTCTTGGAACTGGAAATTAGAAAAAATGTGCACGGTATGGTTAAAATATGAATTTTCTATAAGCATGTAAAAGAATATTTGCAGTTGCTGTGTAGCCGAAGGCTATTCGACTGAAATATACCACTTGTCCCTGAATTTGCACAGGTGGAGCTAGCGAGGCATGAGGGGAAGCAAACAAGGGATTATTAAGCTACACGCACGTCTATAATTATCGTCTGTTTTAGTACCTTAATGTCAATGTAGCAGGATTTTGATACATTATGGAGAATTTTATAGTAGCCAAACTTGTTGATGGCAGGATTTTGATACATTATGGAGAATTTTGTTGTAGCCAAACTTGTTGATGACTTATGTGTAGATGTTGGGATTCTTGGTTTATGTTTAACTAGGTTTCTGTGTAATAGTGCTGCTTTTCTAGAGAAACATGAAACTGGTGGGAATCATCTTGCACTCTCTGGAAACTGAAAATCACTCACATTTGTTGTGTATGTGGTAATGTTTGTGCTAACTGAGCTTGCCCTCGTTTTTTAATTGGCTTTTGTGATCATGAAACTTGGCATATTTTGTTAAAAGAAGTTCCCCTCCCAATTCCTTGCAAAAAAATAAATAAATAAATAAATAAACAAATTAAAGAAAGAAGAAGAACTGCTGCTATTAATAATAATAATAATATGGATAAAAGCTTCCTCTTGTCACTTTCATTTTTCTAATTACCAGCTGCTGAGGCACAAATTCACATTTTTTTTTTGTTTTTTTGTTGATTTGAATAATGCTATTCATACATTTGGTATTTGACACAATGATGTCTAAGTATTTTGAGGATATCGTATTTTGGAGTCTTTATGTTACACAGGATAATGAATAAACTGTGACTTTTATATGTAGATCTAACGGTCAGTTATATATTTTCAACAAATATGGATACTTTTAAATTTAAATAACGTTCTCTCGACAAGCAATATAAACAAAACTTTGACATTTCACAATATATGTGTGCATTGTTATTATAAAATGTTTGATGAGTCAACTCAGCCAATAGTTAGACAACCTCACACAAAATTGATGGATTTTCAAATAATACTATCCAGAACCAATGAAAAAAATTGTGTAAAAAAAAAATTGAATCGGTGACACCCTTGCAATAATCAATTTTTTTTACCATCGACACTAATAAATATGCTGACATGTAATATTTTTTTTAAAAAAAATTACTATCGGCACTAATATATTATACTCTAAAAAAATAGTACTATAAACTAACATTTCACAATATCAATATATATTTTTTTAACAAGAGAGAGATCAACCCAACCCCTAGAGTTTAGTCCTTTCACATAAGAACTGGTGAGTAAAATGATGATGGTTACAAAGTTACAACACAACATATGAACCTGTCACCGTCAGCTGTAATTATCCTACAGTCATCTTCAGAAACAGATAATCCTGTTACATTAATTTCTCCAAAGTCAAACCCCAAACAAACCAAAATTTCCCCCAAATCGAACGATGGACGTCGATTACAATCCGAGCCGAAAATCCCTAATCAAGAACAAATGGGTCGCCACGGCCGCCGGCATATGGATCCAATCCGCCGCCGGCTCCCTCTACACCTTCAGCATCTACTCCTCCGTCTTGAAATCCAGCCAGGGCTACGACCAGTCCACCCTCGACACCATATCCGTCTTCAAGGACCTCGGCGCCAACGTCGGCATCCTCTCCGGCCTCCTCTACTCCTCCTCCGCCGCCGTCGCCGGCCCGTGGGTCGTGCTGCTGGCCGGGGCGGTCCAGTGCTTCGCCGGCTACTTCCTCATGTGGCTGACGGTGACAGGGGCTCTCCCAAAGCCGCCGCCGCCGGTCATGTGCCTGTACATGCTGCTGGCGGCGCACGCCATGACCTTCTTCAACACGGCTAATGTGGTGACCGGAGTGCATAATTTTCCTAGTTATAGTGGCACCATTGTTGGGATTATGAAGGTTTGTCAAGAAAATTATTACAAAAAAAAAAAAAAAAAGTTATAGCCTTTTTGAATTATGGATTAAATTTGTCGTGATTCAAATCGACGGGTTTAGTGTATATGATTGTTTTGTGAGCCATTTCATAGTTTTGGATGACTTGACATCTGGGCACATTTTTTCCTGTTTATGGGTGATTCAAATCTCTCTGTTTATGAAATTAAATTCAATTTTTTTTTTTTTATTACATTAGGGTGCAAGATCTCTTTTTTTTGCTGTTTGCAGTAAATACTTCACTTTTTTATGGATTTGGTGTATGCTTTAACATGTTTATCTTTTTACAATCTTTTTACAGGGGTTTCTTGGTCTGAGTGGAGCCATACTAATACAAGTGTACCAAACAATCTTCAAGAACAAGCCAAGTTCATACTTACTGCTACTGGCTTTGCTTCCCACAGTCACATCTCTTATACTGATGGGGTTCGTGAGAATCTATAAAACGAACGAGGATGATGAAAAAAGGCATCTAAATGCTTTCTCATCCATGGCCGTTGCTTTAGCTGCCTATCTCACAGCTGTTATAATAATCCAAAACATCTTCAAGTTAAAATTGTCCATTCGTGTTATTACGTTTGTTATACTCATGCTCCTCTTACTACTTTCGCCTATTTTCGTTGCTATTAGAGCCCAACGTGATAAATCATATAGGGCTGTGAAATCCCTGCTCGAGCAGAATCAAATTTCAGATGAGAGAAATATTGATGTAATCTCGAATGCTAGGCTCGATCTCAGTGAATATCATGAAATTCCAGATGGTACGGACCAGACAAGGGACGTGAATAACTTAAATCTACTGCAAGCAATGCAAACCGTAAATTTCTGGTTTTTATTCTTTACCACGGCTTGTGCTTTTGGCTCAGGGCTTGCCACAGTGAATAATTTAAGCCAGATAGGAGAATCTCTTGGCTACACAAGCCTAGAGATTAACACTTTAGTTTCTCTATGGAGCATTTGGAATTTTCTTGGCCGTTTTGGAGCCGGCTTTATCTCTGACTACTTCTTGCATGTCAAAGGTTGTCCGAGACCTCTGTTTATCGTAATTACTTTAGCAGCTATGTGCATTGGCCATGTCATGATCGGTCTCGGTTTTCCTAACTCTCTTTATGCTGGTTCGGTTCTTGTTGGGGTCTGTTACGGTTCCCAATGGTCGTTAATGCCGACAATTGCCTCCGAGTTATTTGGGAAAGTTCATCTCGGCACAATATTTAACACGATCACGATTGCAGGTCCTATTGCGTCGTATATTCTTTCGGTTAAGGTTGTGGGTTATATATATGACAAGGAAGTGCCGGAATATGAAGAGATGTGTATTGGGACTCGTTGTTTCATGCCATCGTTTTTCATCATGGCAGCTGTTACTTTCGGCGGTTTTCTTGTTGGCTTGGGATTATTGTTTCGGACGAGAAAGTTTTACGAAGATGTTGTGTTGCAAAGGGTTTTGTATTCCTTGCGACAGAGCAGGATTGCGATTGATGTCGAGTAAAATGAGGTTTTTGTATCTGTGTAAAATGCTTTTTTACTATTTGATATTTTGCTTGGAGATTTTTTTATTTTTTATTTTTTTTATTTATTTTATTTTATTTTATTTTTTTCATCCAAAGTATTTGGAAAGCATAAGTAAAGAAAGCTGAGTTATGACTATTCATCCAGTCGACACGATTTTCACTTCTTCTCTTCTGTATTCTTAAGTTTGTCGATAATCGCATCGGACTCTAATAAATGTGTCGTCATTTGCCATCATAATGTAATCAGGCAAATACAGTCCGAAACTGGAATCAGCAGATACAACAGTTTTAAGAAGGTATAGATACATTAGATAAATCCCTTTTCAAGTTCAGCTTAACTACAAATGCCTTTTGACATTAGCTTATATGTTGCAGGTTTTAGGTTTTATGAATGAGTTGTTCTCAGGTGCATTGATGAATTAAGGTTAAATCCACCAATTTGTGATTTTTGAATTTTTTTGACCAAGGTGAGACGCATTTCTGATCTAATTTAGGAATCATGTACTATCTATACATATTTAATTTTGTAAATAAACGTATATATTGTTAGAAAATCAGTTAAATAAAATTGAGTATGACCCAATATTGATATTTTATGGCTAAATATTTAATTCGGGTTGAATTAAGTTATGTAGAAAAATTCTAATGCTCCTAGTAGATACTCTTGATATATTTATTTTCTCAAAATTTATTTTCGATGACAGAAATAAAGGATTAAACTTAGTCATTAATAAACACGTATACATTGGTTGTGGATTGGAAGTGTCAAGAATTCTATCTTTTAAATGAGGATAACCCGCCGGCTACTCACTCGGGCTTAGCCTTGGTCCTTTGCGAATTGACCTATGGGTTGAACTTGAACGGTCTAAGTCGCTCTTGGGCTTGGGCCCTATAATTTTTTTGCTACAAATTTATTTGCAAAGTTATGGCCTAAAAAAATCGACATTGTTGTACAAATAGAGCGCTTACACGATAAAAGTCATTTGTAAGTTTGACTCAGCTCGACTACTTTGATAAATTAACCGAGATTGGGCTCGTTGAAGGCACGTTAGGCTAGAAAATTAGGGTTTTTAACGTTATTGTAATTATGCAATGTATTATTTTGAGAGGAGAAGATTTATTTATAGGAATATATGTTATGGTTTTGTCTGAAAAAGAAATGTTGTCCCATGATTGTTACTTGGTAGTAGTTACTATATATACATGAAAAGGCCTTTTGGTGCAACAAGAAACAATTGGTTTGAAGCTGCCATGTCAAGGTCGCGTATATATATAAATCCAAGTGGGATGTGTCAATTTTATTTATAAATAGTAAAACAAAATAAAATGACACTTTTTTTTATCTTGATCAAATACTCCAGTTAAAGATAATTTGTACCTATGTGGTATGCTAGAATACACCTGTATCCCGGATTTTGTTTTTAAAGATTATAGAGATTAAACCAAGATAAAATAAACACCTCTTCATTAATCTAAAATATCGAATTACAACAGAAAATTCAATAAATAAATATTCCAAGAAATTTGTACGGATATTTCAATTTTATAACTTTCCTTGAAAAATTTTCAATTGTGTTCCAATGAAGGTAAACACTAAAATCTTCAATTGGAATTAAATTTCTCTTGGAATGTAATAATTCCAACAATACCTTTTTCAAATAGTTTATTGTTGTAGGAATTTTTGAAATTGTTTTATCCACCACTAATACCAACCATTCAAATTCTAACAAAAATTGCAACAGAAAACCAATTCTAACGGAATATTTCGTTGAAATGAATTTAATAACATTGAAATATTCATTGTAATTACCATTAAAATTATGTTGGAATATATTGCCTGTTGAAATTTTTCATTGGGACTTGATGATTCAATTTGTAAATAAAATAACATAGAAAACTAAATCATCTTTCATATATCAATGAGTAATTAGCAATTTAACTGCTATTTTCCAAGAATTACTAAAACCTTAAGCTTCCTCCTCCAACTACAACAAATTAAAAGATTACCTTATGAAACTCTCTCTCTAACCACCAAGCATCTCCCTTGCAAACCACGCAAATTGCCTGAAACAAACAAATGTGACCCATCACTTGCCATAAAATACTACAAAACATGAACACAAACATCCCTTCACTTTAAAATCCTTTAACATTCTTAATCCCACCACAAATACCAACAATTAATGAACTCATCCAATGATAATCTAATCTAATCTTTTTTATTTTCTCTCTTTTTAATGTTCTCTCCCAAAAAAAAAAAAAAAAAAAAAAAATGGCATTCAAGAACATGATACTATCCATGCTGGCCAAGTTACTGGGTCCACAGCCCGTCTGCGAAAATGCCGTGTCGAAAAGAGTGTGTGCCGTTTGCCTTTCGAGCTTGAACGGTGGGGAGGTGAAGGTTACACGCGTGCTGCCATGTCAGCACGAGTTCCACGTCATTTGCGTGGACAGGTGGCTGGCCGTGCCGTGTTTCAAGAGCACTTGCCCTGTTTGCAGATTCTCGATCGATGATTGTGAGCCAATCGACTGTTTCTTTACTGATGAAATGGTTATTTGGTTTTCTTCTTTTCATGTTGCTGGCTTCTGATCAAGATCAGCTCTTTTTGTCTATATAAATTTCATATGTATGTGCAAATGTAATGTAACACTCGGGTGATATTAAGTTCTCTCATATGTGGCAAATAATGAAATGCCTTCTCTCTAATTCTCCAATACAATCTGATTAGTTGCAATTTTTTTCCTTTTGTAAATATAAAGGAGCAAAAAATTATGGTTGCGCAAAGCTAGAAAGTTTCCATGACAAAAGTAGGTTAAATTTCGAATTTACTAGGGAACCAAAATAGTTAACATATAATGTAAAATTGCATTTTTAGTCCTGCTTGTTTAGCAATTTTAGTATCAATGTTCCAACTTTTCACCTTTTTGGTGATTTAATATTTTGCTCCAGTTTTAGTCGTTGAGGATCGAAATTGCAACAAATTCCCAAATTTTCGATTAGCAATTTTCCTGTAGTTTAAAATTTTGTTACAATTTCAGTCCTTAATTGCAGCAAAATATTAAATCACATACCAAAATGCGAAATATTGGAATCTTGGGACTAAAATTGCTATGGTGTTACACCAAGATGACCAAAAATGCATTTTTGCGCATATAATATTTTACCAAACAAATGTTTTTCATAGGTTATATCCGCATGGATTTTAACATGTCCTTGGCAATCATTCAAAGCATATCATCAAAAAGATCAAGATTAACTTCCAAATCTACCCCTACACAGTTCAGCTTCATACCAGATGAACAGTAGAAAATCGAAACTGCAAACTTCAGCTCAAGAGTTGTCGAATTCGACTCCTAAAACCTGCATCAACTCATCTTGGCACACGATTTTCGGGCCCTGATCCTTCTTTAGGACCAGCATCCCCCGAGCCACCCGATCATCACAAACCTGCACTTTTCCCGTGAATGATGAATCAGCATTGTCCGAATCAGGATATCCTTCTTCTTCCCCGTTTTTCGCAAACTCGAAATTCGGGCACATGCAACTCTGCAGGAATGAATCAGAGGCATTAGCTTCCACGTGGTGAGTTGAGGGAATGCTTACAGTCTCGTTGTTTGCCGGGAAGTAGCATTTGATTGCCAGCTCGGATTGGATTTTGTCTTTGAGTGTGGCCATTTTCGGCTTTTCACCGTGTACAAGGATGACGTGCTTTGGGGCTAAAAATTTGATGAGGTCCATGATTCCCTTGGCATCAGTGTGGGGACTGAACGACAATTGGTGGATCTGGGAATATATTCGACTAGCAATTTTAGTCCAGTAATTTAAAATTTTGTTGCAATTTCAATCCTGTAATTTAAAATTTTGTTGCAATTTCAGTCCTGTAATTTAAAATTTTGTTGCAACAAATTTCCAAATTTTCGATTAGCATTGGTGTATGAGTTATTTTTTAAATATGTTTCGGTGAACTGCAGAATCGCAGATGACAGTACAGACTACAATGCGTGCCACTAACCAGAAACAAAAAAATAAAAAATAAAAAATAAGACAACAAAAAAAAAAAGCTTCAGATAAAAGTTGAAATATTTTCCAGTTTAAGCCGTCGACACATATGATTAAATGAATTCTAAAAAATTCAAAGAAGAAATATAGGGAAATCGAGGAAAACCTGGCATCGCACATCAATGTGGACAGCCTCATCAAGCTTAATTTGGGTCGGTGTTTTAGCTGACATCAATTTGTGCCCAATAGTTCCAGCCACACAGTATCTGATAATGAAACCAAGACAAGTACGAACAGGATTTCAATTAGAGAGCATGAAAAGAAGAAAAATGATAGTTTTTGAAAGAGATAGTGAGCTTTTAATATTCGACAAGATCTAACAAACTTCTAGTATTTTTTTTGGTTTCTTCTCACAACAAAAGCATTTCCAATTAACAAATGAAAACAATGCTATCGCGTTTTAATGACACCGTGCTATTTTCTCTGCACTTTATGTAATAAGTAAAATGTGAGGATTCATTTATCTTAAACCATTTACCCCATTATATCCTTTAGTAACAATCACAGGATGGCTTTCACTTTTTT